ATCAGCACCTCACCTTGTGCTGGAGCAGCTTCCTGCCCATTCTCCTCTGCCAACTCGTGCATCTTTCCCTTACCTTTGCTCTTTCCAGCTTTCGGCTGGGGCTTCTTTTGCTGCTTTCCCTTGTCACCTTTGGGCTTGTCAGGGCATTGTGCCCCAATGTGACCAAACTTCGAGCAATGAAAACACTTCACCTTGCTCAGATCGGCCTTGCATTGCTTGGCCATGTGGCCTCGCCTCCCACACAGATGACACTTCATCGTGCTCTTGGGACTTCCCTTTCCTTTGGCAACAGTAGCACTGATCCAAACCTGTGCATCTTCGTCCCATTCCCATTGATCATCAGGATCTTCTTCCTGGGCATACTCAGAGTTGTCATAACCTTCCTGATCGTATCCCCACCACTCTTCAGCGGTCTCGGCACTTTCAAGTGCATGCACACCTCGTGCACCTGATGAAGATGGGCCACTCAACTCAGCAAACATGCGTTGCTGCGTCTCAAAACGCAACGCAGCAGTGCGAAGGTCGGTGTATGCATCACCTGCTGCATGTAACGTGGTGTACGAACGAACATCATGTGGCAGCGAACGTAAAAGCATGATGGTAAGATCACTTGTTTGCACCTCAAGTCCAACTCTGGACACAGTTGCAGGTAGAGTTTCAATCATCTTGCGAAACCTTGACAGTCCGACGTCAATCTGGCGAATGATGTCACTAACCTGAGTAACACCAGCAGACGCTTTGAACGTCTTTGCCAAAAACTCAGTGCGAAAGAAAGACGCTTCTGCCCTTGAACGCAAAGAAAACTCTCTTGCCAACAAACGCAAACCTTCAAAACCACTCGTACCTCTAGTTGCCAAGAACGCTCCATCAACACCAACTCCTTCAACATAAGCTTGCAGCATGGTGTTCCCCCTTGGGAAATCCTTAAACGTCTGGATGAGGATTGCAAGAAGACGCGCGCTGCGGGTCTGTTGAGCGGGCTTCAGCACAGACATATGGATCTCTTGTTCCCAACCAATGCACTGGGCAATCTCCCAGGCAAAGATGTCACTTCCTAAGGAAACCCAAGCACGTAGCGCCTGAACCCAGTCCGAAAATCCAAGGACTTCATCTGCACGGGTTCTCCAGTTCCTGAAATCCACAGTGGGCATAGGAGGTAACCATTTCTCAGATTTACTAAAGATGTCACGACCATCTCTGTCGTCATCTTGATTCGGATTTCTCTCCCCTCTCTGGGGTGTCACTTGTGCTATACCTGGCGGCGACCCCACAGGTCGGAACGCAGGTCCTGGACTCGTGGGTGGCTGTTCACCAAACCGTGAAGGTCCACTGCTTAAACCTGAAGACAAGGATGCATCAGCCGGTCTCGCACCGTGCAAGGCTGCAGTTCCCTCTGGAACGCGAGTCACCTGAGCTTGCAAACCATCAAGTCTCGTACTCATTTCCCTTACGACAGGCTCAATTCCCATGCGGAAGATCTGTGCGATCTGGGTCAACTGATCTGGCGTGAACAAAGGACCTTGCGGACCTGGACTTCCTGGCATACTAGGCTGCTCTTGGTGCGTCGGTGACGCAGGTTGCGGACTCCCCGGTCCAACTTCTCCAACAGGGTACGGTCCAGTCGGTCCACCTGCCTGAAAACCCTTACCATATCCTTTCTCTCCGCTCTGGGTACCTTGGCCGTCCATTCGAAAATGCTGTGGTTGTCCTGATTGAGACATTTTTGACACCTCGAAGTCAAACACACGACAGTCAAACGCAACTCACACCAACTTCCCTGGAACCAGGCACACACAAGACGCACACAGGCGTGCCAGATCCTCACAGGATCTCTTGTGGAGGGAGCACACAAGCTCCGCTACCACGTAAAACTTTGACACAAAGTTAGATCGCGAAAACCGCTTTCAAACCTCTCGTGCACAAAGTAAACCCAAACCAAAACACAAACAAACGGTGGTCGTTTCGCGTTTCTGTCTGTGTCAGCTTTCCCAGGCCGTCTCACGGCGACACACTCACCCTTTTCGAACTCGCGGGTCTTGAGCCAACGTTTACGTTGGGTCATAGCAGTTCCAGAAACGATTCTACAAATCTAGACACGTGCAAAAAACAAACTTCTACGTGGCAAAAACCTAAGATTGGTTTCGTGCAGTTTGGTTCTCGTGTGGAATAACCTACAACGTGCAAAAAACCTAAAAACGGCTAACTACCAACGAAAAATGGCAACTCCGTCACAACTCTTTGTGACGGAATGAGATGAGATCGATTAACTACATCACAATCACCTGCTAACTACAAAACAAAGTCCAAACTACGCAAGTCCACAAACTACAACTACAAAGCAACTAACAACTACCTAAGTACAAGCACAAGATCGCTACGCTAGCTATGCATAGGATGATTTTTCACAGGGCCAAGTGTTCAGCAGGCTCTTGGGGTGGCTCCATGTCAACTTCTCCCGCGTCCCCTTCATCATTCTCATCCTCACTCTCATCGACTGGTCTCCGCGGCTGCGTTGCAGGTGCAAAAGCATGTTCATCATATGGAACACGTAGAGAGCCCACATCAAAGGAAGCCTCTTGTTCCAGCGGCGGAGCATTGTCTGGGCTTGTGGCAGCATCCCGAGTGCAATCTGCTTCAACCTCTGAACCTTACAGGCAAGAGTGGCAAAGTCATGTTCTGCAATTTCAACGCCAAAGTCCAAAGCTGGCAAGCATTATTAGAGCAGCAAACATATCCGCATGAACAGGAAAAATTGTTTGAATCCGCTAGAGGACGAGATGGAGAACAGCGTAGACACGTTGCAAAAAGTCATTAAATTTGTCGTGCCTTTACACAAAGTTAAAGCATTACAAGGGTCAAACATCTCATCGACGAAAAATGTATATATAAGCCCGGCCTCCGAAGCCCTCCGGAAGGCCCACCTGGCAATCCATCTTGCACTGCCGGCTCTGGCAAGCTCTCTTCCAATCTTGATTCCACTGCTTCAGGATGACAGCATCCAACGCTTGCCCCAAGGTTTCTGCGTGGCCTGTCATGGACGATTTTCTCGTTTGGGCATAGTTCACATTGATGGCCACAAGAGTCAGAGACGATTGGGATGTGGGAAAGACAGCAACACGAGCCTCATTGACCAGAGCACTTTTTTTTTTTTCCTCCGGTTTGGCCGATTCGCACTAGGCACGGTCCTTACAATAGCGTAAGCGGTGAAAAGCATCTAGAAAAAGGACTCGTGTGGTCCAAAACCGCGGGCAAATCATCATAACACAAAAAACAAACAAACCAAAAAACGCAACCAACAACGACCCGCAAATCCCCCAGCCAGATTTGCGTTTCGCCAAAAAGCAAAACAGCGAAGCAACAGAGAACGGGGCCGGGCCCAAACAAAAACCAACAAATCAACTTGAGATTTGCCTTGGACACAGTGACCTAAGTCACTGTATCATCACCAAAAACATGCAAACTAATTAAGTGCGGCAGAGCGAAAACGATAGTACACGACCACCCAGATTCTCATCGTCCATACAACCGTGACTGTCACTCCAGCTCTCTGAAAGGTAGGCAAAGCAGGAATAGCTGACAATACAGCTCATACCAGTTGCCATTCTCATTGCCAAAGTTTGTCCTATGATGATAAGTGAAGTTGGAGTCCAGTCTCTGTAGTAAGATACCGCCGCTTATTTCAAAACTTGTGGCTGCTACCTACTCATGTCCCACCCCCACGTGTATACGCCGCAAACCAAGGGATAAACGCCAAACTGAACCAAGGGTGGCGGGGAAAATGCCAAACTGAACCAGTCGAAACCCTAAATGCAAACTCGGCTGTAAACAAAAACGCATCCACAAAAGTTCCATCACTGCTGACGATTGAAGAACACACAGCGGCCCTTTTCCAACGGTGACATGGGGGATCGATAAATCCTGTATGTCCAATGGGCTGTGAACTCAGCCACCAGCTTCACTGATCCAGTCAAGCTCGTTGCAAAAATGTCAAGCTGACGAAAACTGTCCCACAAATGACCAGATGCTCTTTCGCAGCTTGTAAGGCAAAGAAATCACTGTTCAATATCTCCCAGTAGCACAAGTTGAAAAATCTTCGTCAGAACCGGCGAGATCACTGTATAACACAGGTGCTATTGTCAAGAAGTTGACAGCAAAGAACATATAGTTCAATCATGAGTTCGACAAGAGTAGAGGCACTTTGCAAAGGCTGCCTCAAAAGCTGTAGCTGTACCAAGTTGTTGTTTTGCCAAGGGTGAGGAGGGTGGGGGCAAAACAACCTCAATTTAAGAGGTGTCCCACCACCCACCCTCAGCCAAATTCCGCGAGGATATCATTCATTGAATGTTCATGTATGTTCCATGTAAACGAAGTGCACTTTCGAAACTGTCAAGAATGTCAGAACTGAACCTGTACCTGTGAATACCTTTTCCACTGAATTGCAGCGACACTGAAAAAGTGATTTGCAAAAGAAACAGCATTTGTTTTCTATTTGTTGTTGGCCCTTGGTTCAGTGCACGTGAGTAAGGAATGTTTGACAAAACAGACAAAAGAAGATAGCAGCACGAAACTTTGTTTCTCACAAGTTTTGAAATAAGGAGCTATCAACAAGTTGACCGCTTACTTATTTCAAAACTTGTGGCTGCTACCTACTCATGTCCCACCCCCACGTGTATACGCCGCAAACCAAAGGGATAAACGCCAAACTGAACCAAGGGTGGCGGGGAAAATGCCAAACTGAACCAGTCGAAACCCTAAATGCAAACTCGGCTGTAAACAAAAACGCATCCACAAAAGTTCCATCACTGCTGATGATTGAAGAACACACAGCGGCCCTTTTCCAACGGTGACATGGGGGATCGATAAATCCTGTATGTCCAATGGGCTGTGAACTCAGCCACCAGCTTCACTGATCCAGTCAAGCTCGTTGCAAAAATGTCAAGCTGACGAAAACTGTCCCACAAATGACCAGATGCTCTTTCGCAGCTTGTAAGGCAAAGAAATCACTGTTCAATATCTCCCCTCTTAACCGATGATTCCAAAAGTATCTTGATGATATCCTGAAGTTCAGTCTCAGGAATTTTACACTCAGCTCCAGATTCTATCAAATACTGGACAACTCCTCGTGAAGGGTCATCTGCTATATTTGATGGCGTGGGTACACGGGTGTACCATGGTGTTACGTTTGTAGCCATTTCGAGCTTCAGAAGGAACTCTACCAAAATGCTTGCAACGCAGTTTCTGCCACATCCTGAAATTGCAACATCCCTTGCAGAGTTGTTATCCACAAAACAAATAACACTTGAAGATCCAATGATTGACCTCCAGACAGAAAAAGCCAGTACCATGGCCAGCAGTTCCGCTTCAAAGATGATGGTCTTTTTGAACTCAGCACCCAACGCACGCCTTTGTTCTGTTGACAACTCCATTGAGAAGAATGCCACCTTTTCACCAAGCGGATTCACAAGCACCCCACCCAGACCACATACCCAGTCGGTCCGTTGAGGCTCATAGCATGCATCGGTGTAAATGGTCCAAACAGAGTCGGACGCCAATTCCAAACTTCGAGGCTCTGCATGGTTAAGAAAAATCACAAATCTTCTCAAGGCATCAACCGTCGGTTTCTCAAGTTTATCACCCCGACCTTTAAAAGCATGTTGCGTTATGGCTTTCATGCACAACTTTCCCAAACGACCAAAGACTTGTCCATCTGCAAACTGCATTCTCCCTCTAAGCTTCTGCGATTCCAAAACAGTCATCCGACCCTTCCTGATGATATCCTCTATGGCGCTGGTCAGCTCTGTAATGCGTTTCTCTGTGTTGATGAAACTGACTTTTCCCAAGTTCGCATTCTCCAAGTTGAGGCGTACACCCAGCGCTGAAAAATCATCACCAAAGCATGTCGCTTTCTCACCCTCTTCTGCAAATTTCCACCCCAGTAGTCTGAACAAGAGTTCAACAGTGGCTTCCGTACTTTTGACATGGAGCTTCTGAGAGAAAACCACATAGTCGTCGAAAAACACACTCCACATGATTTTCAGAGCTTTGACACCAGTGAACCAAATGGCATGTGAGATACGTAAAAATGAATACACGCTTCTTGTTGCACCAAAAGGTGCTGCAAGCAACTGATACAGCTCGGCCCTTTTCTTATAGGGGTTATATATGGCTACAAAGGCAAACTGCAAGGATGACTCAGCTATTGCAAGTTGCTTATAAGCGCTTTTTAAATCGAAGGACCTGCCTTGGATTTGTGCTCCTCCGCTACTTTTCAGAATCGTCAACAGCAGGGCAGCCACGAAGTCGATTGATTGCGGCTTGGGTGATTCTGCACATTGCACCGTCTGGTTGACATTGCTAGCCGACAAGTCATCTATCAAGCGTATCTTCCCAGGTTGTCGGAGTCCAAAACGTCGGCTTACAATTGCATCAGCTGGCAGGTTTGCTATATCAATGGGGCCGGATGCCCATCCAAGCTCGACTTCCTCTTGGGTCTTCTTCCAAACAAGCTCATCTATCTCTTTGTCCCCTGACGACCTGCAGCTATGATAGTGCTTCTGCTTGATCGATTTCGCCTCCTTGCACAAACTGTCCACCGTTGTTTCTGCTGGCTTGAAAGTTTTCTCAAAGATGCCATAGGTGGGAACTTCCCCTACAAGCTCAGTACCGTTTGCCAATTCTGACACCACATCTGCATCTGGATATCCCAAATCCAGCAAAATTTCTTTCCAGAGAAGCAGCCGCTTTGGCTTCAAAATATTTGCTATGTGTGCAGGCATGCCCGCTTTCATCTCCATCTCTGCTGGTTGAAGCTCCTTTGCCCTGGCTGTCCATTTGCTAAACCAGTCGGCCCTCAGCTTCGGCAAGTGACCCAGATCCTCGTTTTGAAAATTGTGAAAAACAGCCTCCATCAGCACTGGGGGTACCAACGACGAAATTAGTTTTGGATGTCCTCTGCTCACAGCTTCTTGTATGAATTCTTCAGGAGAAAAAGGAATACCCCAAGCTTGTTCCATGCAGTTGGAAAATGCTGATGATTGTGACGCAATACCCCCCATTGACCGCAGTGGTGTGACCCTTAACAACTGAGCCCCTTCTGGTAGGACTCGCAACGCAGCATCACACTCAGTTGGGATATGTAAAGAAGATTTCAATCGCTGCATTGGTTCCACCGGCATGTCATTGAGTACATGTGCTGGGCCTCGCACGACTACCACCTGCTTGTGTTCACGCACCACTGGAGGAACGCGAGAGGCTTTCGGCTGAGCAGTGGCTACTGCTCTCATGGTTTTTAAATTGATGTCATGTGACTGCAGCTGAAAACATTCATGCGGTGGACTCCACCCATGACTTACCAGAATGTCAGCGAAAGCTTTGGCAATTGCCCTTGCTAGGCCTCTCGGATAAGCAGCTTCTTCGCTGGTCGAGAAATGCGTTCCCTGTGTAGATTGCACGATTCCCCAAGGTTTGTGTATGTGAGAAGGTGACTCACCTAAACAACACAGGTTGATGTGACTGAAACGCTGATGATTCCAAGCTAGCACTGTCCACTTCGGCCTGTCACCTCCGTATGCGCATGCTTGATGGGATGTATAATTGAAATGCTTTGCAACTGATTTCCAAAATCTCGTCAACCAGAAAAGTGAAGAACGTGGATTTTCGACAACGACAATGAGCCCCCTGGCCAGAGCTTCCTGGATCGCCTCAGACAAAAATTCGTACAGCCTGTTTGCCGCAGATACTCTGCGACGATCCTTACCTCTCAAACCAGTCAAACCCTCTGGAAGTTCATGCGATCTCAACGGCACTGGTCCTGGGATTTTCCTGCCAACCGAGTCCCGAAGTTGAATGTTTCTGGCCAATGAACAAGTACCGCATGGGGGTGCCCAAAAGATGCCAACAACAAGAGGGGATTTCATCCACTGCTTGAAAATGTGTTGATCCCTGCTAAGTGTCAAATCCAATCTCTTCACAGTTGCAATCGCCTTGTCAACATCGTGATCAACGCCGAAGGATTCAACCAAACCAAGCTCCTTCAGACTGGCTGTGACCCTTGCGCTCCCGCAGAATACCTCTATTATGACAGGGCAAGCAATTTGCTCTTCAGAAAAAGAAAAATTGTTCTGAATGAAATGACTTCGCACTCCATCTGCACCAAATTGTTCAAAACTACCAATTCCACTTTCAGTCTGTTGCTGATGCACAAAGGGCTGAGCCGCCTCACAAGAATTCTCTGGGTCTCGGAGAACTGCGGAAAATTGTTCATCTCTGCCAACACGCTCACTGCATGGATTATGGGCTGACGAGGAGACACCCTGAGAATCTGCTGGATTGTCATGAACAAAATTTGGAACTTCCATGTCAACATCGCAAGAAGACTTACCACCTGATGCTTTTGCACTATCAGTTGATAAATCTGAGGTTTCGGCTTGTGCATGTAGTCAATTACCATGCTGCAAAATACTGTGAGAGGCGTAACATTTGGAGCATATGTGCAACCCTCTGCGGCACTTGGCTCCGTCAGCAGCTTCGGAGCAACCACCCTCCGAATTGAATCCAAAACAAATGGGCTCCCCCTCTGGGTTGGAGGCAGTTCCTCCCAGCTTGAATATGTGAGATGGCACACGCTGTTTGGATTTGCCACCTTTCTTGCCTCCTTTCTGTTTCAACCAAAGTTTCTGTGTGGTGGCCACTGCACCCTTTCCGCTCGACCAAGGCTGCTGCGGTTTGTTCTTCTTCTGGATGTTCCCTGGACCTTCCTTTTTGGCAATCAAAGGAAGCAGACTGAATGAAACTCGATAGCTCTCCAAAGTGCTGAGCAACTTGGTGTCCAATGCCAACACACCTGCATCATCTCTCTTTGGTTGCACCCCTTCCTCCAACAAAGCCTGCCACACCAATTTGTCGGCGGCCACGATCTGACTCACTGAGCATCGGCTATACCCTGCAGGGGGCTCCCTGTGCAAATGTGAGAACAACGTAGTGAGGTACCTGGTATAATTTGCATGTTGAACCAGGTCCGCGAAGACCAGGGCCAGGCCTCTGCGCTGCAGAGACTCTTGGACTTGCAACGCCGAAGATACAACCATATCCTGGACTTCGGTCTTTTCTTTAATAATCAAACTCTCCGATGAGATATCCAGCATTTTTGACGGGCTCTTCTGCGTCAGCACTTCATGTGTCCTGCTAACCGATTTTTCAGGAGGAATGTAACGAATTTCATTTTGTTGATACATACTTGCCGCAAGATCAAGTAGTGAATGTCCAGGTTCAAGTGGGCCTTCGATGAGCAACCCGTTCAATCTGTTTTTCAAAGACCTCATTTTGGTCTCACGCTCAGCATTGGGCACCTTCTTAATTGATGAACTGTCAGGGGCATTCACAGAATCCTGCAAGGCAGCAAGAACCATGGTCTGTGACTCGAATAAAAGCCTTTTGGCACCTGCGATGTCAGCAACACTCGCACCTGTCAAAATGTTTGAAGTAAGCCACGTCTCAAAAGCTGAGTCCACAATGTTCTGACCCGGCTGTCCATGTGCGTAAGCCAGTGTTCCAAACGTTTGTAAGTTTGCAGTCTTAAGGCTCCTCTTCAGTTCATCAGATAGTTTGAGATTCAAAGTCCTCTGAATGAATTGTGCTTCAGAATCCAGGAGGGACGCCATTGAGTCCAGCCGAGGAATCAACTATGGAGACCTGCAAACAATGAAACAAATTGCGAACCCAAGCGTTTAACACCTATTAACATCAGATTGCAAACTCGAACAAATGAAGTATTTCACTCACACGTCCTTTAAAGCACATGTTGGAAATGTGACAAGCAATTGAAAGTGCCATGCATGTAATCATGAAAACTTGATGTCAATTAATCCTGTCATGCATCTCCGAGCCAATGCATCAAGAGACCAAGGATGCCATGCAATCCTGAATGAACAAACCAAAACAAGGTTGCCACGCAATTCCATGAGATGCCATGCATCCATGCTTGGGTGCTTTACCCATTCACCTCACCATGTGAGAGACACAACGCACTTGTTTTAAACTGGCGGTAGCAATCCATCTTTGACTGCATTCACCTTGCATCTTCTACAAAGTGCTACTGTGTCGAAATGTACGACAATGTCATAGTTTG